CTGTCCTCAGTGCAGGCTGCTCATCTGTGTGGCCCATGCCCTGTGGGTGCCATCCCTCAGGATGCCCATTGTGGGGGTTGTCCTCAATGCAGGCTGTTGGGACAGCCCTAGGTCTGCTCTCGGATTCACTGCTGCCTTGGGGGCAGGGCTAGGCATCATAGGTTCACACGTGGAGGGTGGAGGAGCAGGGAAGTGAGGCTGGGTCCTTTGGGTGCTCCCTCTAGGATGAGGGTGACAAGTGGGCAGTGGCAGCTGGATTGAGACCTGCCTGGGCTTCCTCTCCTGAGACCCAGGTGCCCCACACCCTCCGTCTGCATGAGCCTGGGCAACCAGCACCGTGCAGCAGGGCCCAGCGATACTTTCTCTAACTTACTTCTTTTCTTCTTGAAGTTTTTCCTTTTCCTAAATCTCATAATGATTCTTGGCCATGATTCTGTCTTTTCAATGACTGTGGCTTCTACTCGAACAAGATCCTTTCTAGAAGGAAGAAAAATCAATAATAATGCACCTTTTGGATTATTTTTCAAATGCCTTAGGTGAGAATTTCTAAAATGAAGTTATACTTCCTCTTTTGTTGATTATAAAAGTAATATGCCCTCAATGGAAACATTTCAAAAACCATGAAAAAGGACCACAAAGAACAGTTCCGGGGAATCTGAACAAATCTTAAGAGGACCCCACTATCATGAAATAGCCAGAGACCAATCATTTGGCCTGGATGTTCTCATGGGCCTTAAATGTCCACTATTATTAAGTATAAATGCTGTGTTTGGTGTCAACAGAGAAGATGAACGCAACCCCCCACGTGGCCTAATTGCACTGTGACCGCTGTCTGCACGTCCAGCCCTGGAGCCCCAGACAAAGCCCAGCACCTCACAGCCATTACCCGAGGAGTGGCTTGCCAAGCAGCGTGAAGTTATCTGCCCCAACCAGCAGGACCTGAAAAAATTCAACAGCTGTGTTTAATCAGTGGCTCATTACAATGAGTAAGAGAACAGTCGCTAATAACAGGTAGTGACGTGAACGCCACACAAAACGAGAAAGACTGAAAACGTTGTGATATGAATTTCATCTGCTGTCTGATGATCTCTTTAATATTCCACAACTGGGTTGTGAGCCGACAAGTGGCAGCACTGCACAGCCATGGGACTGCCTGAGGGACACGCTCCAACCCTCAGAGGCAGGAGACGTACAATTTGATGATTAGATACCATGGATATGCATCCAGATAGCTGCTGTAACCCTCATATGAACGGTGACTTCAAAAACCCTTTCTATCGAAGCATAACACAGAGAGAAAAAGCACACATCATACCATCGTGTCTCTTGGCACAGTTCACAGTTCTGCTAATCTTGCAATGATTTAGGCTCAACTGTATTCTTTTTTTTTT